GCCTGGGCCTATTATAAGCCATACCCCCCAAAATATGCCCGAGTTAAGCCCTGCCCAACATATGGTTGTACGAGGTGGGGTGAGTCCCCAGTGTAAAAATCAAGCTAGAACCACTGCACCCAGGCTTCCCACGCCCCGACACCTGTTGTGCCACTGCCCAAATCCTTCTGCAACTGCCTGTGTCAGAATGCCGTGACGCTCATTGCGCTGGTGCCACTGCTCGTGAGAGCAATGGCACAATACACCATGCAACGTCCTGCCACAAGTGGCTGCATCAATGTGATAAGCCACCTAGGATCTGCCCATGAGTGGCTGCAGAAGTCAGGGAGTGGCACAATAGGTGTTAGGGCGTGGAGGCACGGCTGTATAAGGTAAGTGGGTCAAACATCCCCTGAAAAATAAGACCTGGTGCTTATTTGGGGGCCCAAAAAGTACAGTCTTATTTTCAGGAAAACATGGTAGACGGGAGTGCCTAACTAGCTATCATTATTGCAAGGTTTCTCTGCTCTCTCAAAAGGAACCTGTATTATGTCATAGAGCCCTGTGGAAGATTCTTAGTGGTTGGGATAAAAGCTGTACCGGGCACTTCTCTCTACAACATCTCTTCAGAAGTAGCCAAGAACAGTGCTGGAAGTCGTTATGGGGAGAAAGGAATGGGGGCTACCCTTAATCTGCTCAATTTTGGCAAGATGGGTAAACGTGCTCATTTTGTTAATAAGGTTAATTCACTTATCCTTCCTTTATAACAATGGTAGGCTTAAATAACAAAGCGAAGTGGAATGAGACAATTTACTACCAATTTCCTGATTAGAGTGTTGGCTTTATGACCTAAGAATGTTAGTACATGAGATTATGGTAAGAATGTTGTTGAACAAACAGAACAGAATGATGCCACCATAAATCTAAGCACACAGTCATTGCTCAAGGAGTCAGACAAGTGATTGTTATTGCCTCTAAATAGCTGCCATATTCAAACAAATTGGCTTAGAGATAGATGCAGCTGCTTTCCCGCTCTGTTTATCAGTGACCACATAATTTATAGTTTACTATTGTTCAATGCAGATTGCAGCTGAGGGTTGAAAAAGTCAGAATTGGAATGTTTGGGTATTTCCAAGAGAGCTAACACAATTTTATATAGCTTGTTTTTGTGAAGCCTGCACGAAACAAGTTTTTGAATACACTGAGCCCAGCTTATGATCTGCTGGATGTTTCATGTTTTATTTTTTACAGGATCCAATCTAAGTTGGTCAACGGGACCAAAAGTTCGTTCTTCCAAGCTTTGGGCTTGCGCTGGATGGAGCGCGTTGTCAGGGAAATTCCTTTTTCTCCAGAACATGTGTTGCAGAGGTGGTATTCAGCAGGTTCTGACCGGTTCTGGAGAACCAGTAGCAGAAATGTTGAGTAGTTCAGAGAACTGGCAAATACCACCTCTGCCTGGAGATTGTACAGTATCCTTCCCCTGCCACGCCCACAGAACCAGTAGTAAAAAAAATTGAATTCCACCACTGATATGTTGGGTTGTTCTATGTGTTGTATTTATATTGTTCCTGGGTTTTTTTTTTAGTTTGCTGTGAGAAGTGTAGTATAATAGTGAACTATTAAACCTTCATCTTCGTTCTCTTCACCAAAAAAGATTCAATTTTAACACTAATTAGTATTACATGAGTATGTAGGATTTTATGTCAGATTATTACATAGTGTAATACATACACGGTAGCTATCAGGAATAGCACCTGTCTCATGCTTTTTCTCAGTAACATGTGATCGATAACATTTTGCAGATTAAAAAATGACCTGCACGTATGGTTATTACATAAGATTTCTGGCTATTGTGTCATATATTCTTAGAAACTAGGGATGAGCCTAAACCAGATCTAAACCAAATCTAATATAGTCTTAAGCATTGGGATCCAGAATCACATTTGGCTAGTTCATTTGGGAATTTTGAAAGTGATCGTTCCAACAGATCTAGACACTTACTAGCATGTTGAGGAAGGTGGGCTGGCCAGTGCCTTGAAACTGAGAATGGGCTCGATTTATTACAGTGAAATAATTTAACAAAAGGATTGACAGCCTTTTCTGTCAAGGGCTCATTAGAACATCCTGCAGAGAGTGTGGGATAGAAACATGAAGCTACTCATCAACTTCCTAAATTGTGCTGCACCAAAATTCTAATTCCAGCCTATAGCAATCTGCAAAAATCCTATTTGCATAAAGACTCTTTATTCCTACGTTGGCTAATTGAAAAGCTTCAGGGATTCAGGCTTGGCCCTGAGACCTCTAATTTGCCAGACTCTGCAGTTTACTTCTTTTGCTGAAGAAGGCAGGGGAATTGGAGAAATGAGATTTCCTTTATCTTCTGATTAATATTCACTGAGTCTGATGTCTCCCTGTCTCCTTCATTTCACTTCCCTGTTGACTCTGTTGGTGAGTCAGACCATTATTTCTGTCACTTGTGTTTATATGTACTGCTTTTTTTTTTCTTCCTTTTTTGGATGACTGAATGTCTTCTCGCTCAGCAGCAGCCTGTGATCATTAGGTGACCCCAGTGATCCAGGGAGAAAACAAGAGCACCTTGAGCTGCCTGAAAATTTTCTGATCTTCATGCTTTTCTGAATCTGATCTGATTTGTTTTTTTTTCAGCATTGGAGGGCAGCCGCTTCCAGCATGGATAATAGCTGCGCTTTGTTATCTACCTCAAGCACGGCCAATTTGCAACCAGGAGGAATGTAAAAATAGAGCACGTGCTTCTGAGAAGCCATGAGACCTACTCATTCCTTGGCAGAAATAATAGGGCTGGTGAAAGCGAGAGCTTTTCAAAGTTTCTGCCTTGTCGGGAATCTTTGCTTCCCTAGTTGGTCTGCCGAGGAATCTTTGCACCTTAGCCACAAAACACTTTTTGCATCTCAGTGGGAAAGTGATCTACATCACTAGAACATTTAGCAGGTTTATTACGTCGGCATTATTGCTTAATTTAACTGGAATAGAGCTGGAAGGGACCTTGGAGGTCTTCTAGTCCAACCCCTTCCTCAAGTAGGACACCCTATACCATTTCAGACAAGTGACTGTCCAGTCTCTTCTTAAAAACTCCGGCGATGAATCGATCTATGCTCTGGCTGTTGTTAGCTTTGAGGGTGTCTTTGGTGGCCTGGTTCCCTTTTACCGCTAACAGATACAGGTATTCCTCAATTTACGACCACAGTTGAGCCCAACATTTATGTTGCTAAGTGAAACCTTCATGAAGTGAGTTTGCTCCATTTTACAACTTTTCTTGCAAACATTTATTAAGTGAATCACTGAAGTTGTTAAATTAATGACCCGGTTGTTAAGTGAATCTGGTTTCCCACAAAGTCTTCGCTTGTCAGAAGGTTGCAAAAAGGTGATCACGTGACTCTGGGACACTGCGACCGTCACAAATGTGAGTCAGTTGCCAAGCATCCAAATGTAAATCTTGTGACCACAGGGATGCTGCAACGGTTGTAAATCTGAGAAATGATCATAAGTCACTTTATGCAGTGCTGTTGTAACTTCGATCAATCACTAAATGAACAGTTATAAGTCAGGGACTACCTATTTTGCAAAAAAAAGTTTCTTAATGAAACAAACCTAACTATGGTGCCACAAAATAGTTAGAAATGGTGTAAGATCTCCTGCTTGGGTGCGGAGTTGGACTAGATGAACCACAAGGTCCCTTCCAACCCTGATTGTCTGTTATGTGTTAAAATATTGAGAAGAAGTTGAGTATTGACTGGTGTTCCTTCCCACCATTGCTAGCCATCTCGTGGAGGGTCTCAGTGTGAATTTATCTGGGGTCCAGAGATTCCAGCAGTATGGCCATATAGCTGTATGTCTAACCAGAGTCACTTCAAATTCTGTCCTTTAGTAGAATCTTTTCTTTATTCCATATTGCATAGATACGTGTTGTTGCTAGTTTAATGGCATATTTGGTGAATGAAGCTAGCCTCTCCTAAATTGGAGCCCTCCGTCTAGGTGGGAATTAATTAGTGGTAGTTCAATGCCATCAAGAAGGTAGGTTTTCTTAAACTCTAAGGTTACAGATGAGAGTCTGGAAAACTTGTGAATGGGGTGGATACAAAAGAAAGACATTCTGGTTTCTTGAGTTCGTCTTTAGCTTGAGTCAAACAAGAAACTTGATTATCGAATTAGCCCGTTTTCTGAGACTGCATGGGATACTGAGGTATGAGGTAGTCAAATAGTTTGGATTCACAAATAAGCTAATTAGTCCCCTGTGTCTGTGAATGTATTGTGTCCTGATTCCGTATCTCACAAATTAAAAATGAAATGAAACTATCCATTGTTAGTACATTGTACAAATGCAGTTGCGTGTTTATTTTATTGAACTATTAAGCATATTATATAAACTCAACCAATATGATTAATAATAACATGGGGACTATTTCTCTTTAAATTGATTACAAAAAAAATATCTTCCAGATAGTTTTTTTGTACATAGAAATTCAAACTCAGAAATTAGAATTAAGGAATTTTGTTATAAATCATGCATTGTTAACAGTAGATTGAAATCCAGATATTATCCTATATAAATGAAGGCTTAAGAATAAGCCAAGCATCTCTTGCTATTGATGATATATTATCTTTATATTTTATTGGAAGTGTTATTCAAACTTTCTGCTTTACTGCTTATATTCTTTAAATAAGATGCATTTTGCCACAGATTTTAATTTTCTGAAGCGCTAACTTGAATCAGTTTTACTAATACAGTATTTTGAAAAAACAAAACGCTTTGTGTTATAGGTTGCCAAAACTACCAAAATAGGTATGCAAAAATATTGCAAAAGGCGACAGATGAAAAGTTGTCAGTTTAAACGTCCAATGCTTAAAGACACCCTTTTTGAAACCATCAGTATTATGTTGATAAAGAAGAAACATTTCTTTTATATAGTTCTTTAAATGCTGATTGTCAAAAAAACAGATAGATAGAACCTGCCCAACTGTATCCTTTTTTTTTTTCCCCCCAGGTTCTGATGTTGAACAGGATGCTGCTGTCAAACTTGCTCAAGAACGTGCTGAGATAGTTGCCAAGTACGACCGAGTAAGTTTGTGTAATTCTTAAATAATTGTGTCATGGGCTCTTCTGCTTTCTTGAACTGAGTAAGGAGCGGCTCAGATGATCAGAGGATGAACAAACAAATACACACCAACACCTGCTCCATTATCTCACTCGTAGCCAATCATTGTTTTCTTAATTAGCTGTTGTACCAACATGTTGTAAGGGGAAGAGCAGGATAGCATAAAAAGATTCGCCCCGATTCCAGGTAGGAAATAGAGCCTACCTTATTTTGTAATAAGGAAGGCTGAGAGCCAAAGATTTGAGGCCTTTGAACTGGAGAGGACTCCTGCAAATCCCTTGGACTTCAAGGCGATCAAACTGGTCAGTCCTAGAGGAGATCAACCCTGACTGCTCCTTAGAAGGCCAGATCCTGAAGATGAAACTCGAAAGACTTTGTCCACCTAATGAGAAGGAAGAGCTCCCTGGAGAAGAGCCTAACGCTGGGAAAGATTGAGGGCAATAGAAGAAGAAGGGGACAATAGAGAATGAGGTGGCTGGATGGAGTCACTGAAGCAGTAGGTGTGAGTTGAAATGGACTCCAGAGAATGGTAGAAGACAGGAAGGTCTGGAGGAATATTGTCCATGGGGTCGCGATTGGTCAGACACGACTTCGCAACTAACAACAGCAACTATTTTGTAATAATTTCTATATTGCAAAAGATAGGAGGTCTCGAAGGAAGAAAAAGACTGGCTGCAGTATTCCAGGCATGGTCTCACTAGGGTTTTATAAAGCGATAGTAGTATTTCATGTGATCTTGATTCTATGCCTCATACAACCCAGGATTGTATTAGCTTTGAATATAAGTTTGAATATGCATAGATGTAGGTAGCTGTGGGAAAGACACTCCAACCCATGGTTCCTTAAGCTTTTGTGGGTAAAAATGAGGTATTCTGAGATTGAGAGCATGCCAGCAGCTGTTGTTATGTGGAACTATAAGTAGCAAAGTTAATAAAATGAATTAACTATCTGTCTTCTCTGCTTTCTATAGGGACGTGAAGGAGCCCAGATCGAGCCTTGGGAAGATGCTGACTACTTGCTTTACAGAGTTACTGACAGATTTGGTTTCTTGCAGTAAGTTTCGTAGCTTGGCAAAGGAATGGCTCACTGTTGGCTTCCTTTTATTCTCCGTTGTGATTTTGCCATGCCTATTTACTCAGAGTATCAATCGTGCACCTTACAGAAAAAAAAATTGCTCTGTGACTAGGGCTCCATTTGGCAAATAAAATTCAAATGGTCTCGCACTGCGCTTTTCATTTATTTATATGCACAGCATTTTTCTTAGTCGGTGATTTAAAATTGATCCAGACTTGGTAATTGAAAAGTATCGGCTTTTGCCTTTTTTGCTGGGTGTAAAATGACCGTAGAGATGTTTTGTTCAAAAACAAAAAACAAAAAACTGGTGACATGTTAGAATAATTTAAAGATAATAGCTGCAGTATTTTTTGTCCTTGATTGGAAAAAAAATAGTTAAATTCTATATGAAATTATCAGAGTCATCTGAATAAATAGTCCTTGACTTATGACCATCCACCTAGTGTCAGTTTGAAGTAACAATTGACCCGAAAAAGAGCACTTATGACCCAATGGTTGCCTCCCCCTGTGCCCCCGCTTCATCCTTCAGGCGCTTAGCAACCTGGCCACAGTTACTTCTTTCGTGTGTTTGTGTAGATGTGTGTATAGGGGGTGTCTTGTTTTCATACAAAAGCATTAACTATGCCTGGTTGCCAAGGCAACATGTGCCAGTTCAAATTAGGACCAGACCGATCTAAGGCCAGATTTCTAGTTTCTATTGTGTTTTCTTATGCGAGTTTACCATTAATTCTGATTTGTTAACCTACCTTACATTTGTGAATGAATCAGGCAAATAGCTATCTCTTAATGCAAGGGTCTTCAAACTTGGCAAGACTTAAGAGTTGTGGACTTCAACTCCCAGAATTCCTGAGCTAACATGACTGGAGGAGGAATTCTGGGAGTTGAAGTCCACAAGTCTTAAAGCTGTCAAGCATGAAGACCCCTGCCTTAATGGAATGGATTTATTAGCTTAACATGATAAATAGAATTTTTGAGGTACTTTGGTATTGCAAGAATCATCTCTTGGCTTATTATCATTCATCCCATGGGTAAAATATGTGAATAAGAGCTGAAAAAAACTATTAGTTCTGGGTAACTGTGGGTGGAATTCCATTCAAGGATGGTTATATAATTCTCGCCTTTGTGCGAACGTTACAGTAAAAAGTTTTGCCATCTCATATTTGGTCCGTAGCTATTGTAAGTACATGGTTTCTGGGTTATCAATTATTAAAATTCAATTTTAGAGCACAGCGTTTGCATATGGTAGCTGGTACTGTGCAAGGGCAAAAGGGTTATTTCTCCTTGTACTCTTATTTTAGAATAAAATTCTCAAACGCGATGTTAAATCTAAGACTGTTATGTGGGTCAGATACATCTGCACAATCAATGGGGAACATTAACGCCTGTAACTCTGAAACAGTAAAACTGAATAGCAGCAAGCCGGCTGCCTTCCTTCTGCTTTTTATAATATTCTGTTTGCCTAATTTTGACCCACCTTCCCATGGAGGAATTAATTTATATTAAAAGTAGCTTTAATTTTCATGAATAATTTATGGAACGTTTCCAAATGAATCTAATGGTATTGACTGGTATTTAAGGCAGAGGAGAGAAGTTCCCAGTTCACACCATTTTCTCCTTTTCATTATTGCAAGATCCTTCAGGCATGGTTTAAGGTCTCTATAAGGCAGGGGGTGTCAAATTCAAGGCCCACGGGCCGGCCTGGCCCGCGCGCGGGGCACTTAGATCTGGCCCGCAGGCTGTCCTGGAAACAGCGAAGGACCAGCCAGCAATGGCTCTGCCAGCAAAAATAGACTCCCAATCTCCATTTTCGGCTGGGATGGCCTCCTGCAACCCTCTGCCAGCCAAAACAGAGCTCGGGAGGGCAGAACACTTACAGAGAGGGGTTGCAGGAGGCCGTCCCAGCTGAAAATGGAGATTGGGAGCCCGTTTTCGCTGGCAGAGCACATAGGCGCCCCTGGCATGAGTGACATCATGCTATCCACACCCACCCTAGTCACAGCCCTCCTCCAGCCCTCCCAACGTCAAACACAACCCTGATGCGAATGAAATTGAGTTTGACCCCCCCGCTTTAAGGGGTTGGGCTAGAAGTCCCTCAAGGTCCCTTCCAACCCAGTGATTCTATGAAATTATATCCTTCTAAAAATCAAAATGCTATAGTAGCCTTCTTTCTACAGTTCATAGAACAGTTTAGAAGAGAACAATGTACAAGCTCGCTTGAGTCCATGTTGAAGCACTTGATGTGCCTGACTTTCTTAACCGAGGATTTGTTTTCAAGAAGTCGATTTTCTCCGTTTTAATCATTTTTTTCCCCTTGGGAAGGAATGAGATTCTCTGTCCTTGCTCCCTTGGTTTAGAAGTATATGCTCTTCAAAATATGAACTTGTCCTTAGAGGATAAGCTTATCAAGAAACCTGATCGATCCCCTGGAATCAATGAGAAACAATTCAGAAGAAGAGAATATGTTAGCAATGCAGCCATCCTTATCTGGGGGAAAAAAAAAAGAGCTCACCATTTTGAAGAATAAAAGGAAACGCATAAGAATTTAACCCGTTGCTATTGGAAATGTGGGACTTTCACATGATTTTAGCTAATATATATTCAATTGTTAAAGGTCTTTCTCTTGGATTTAGCTGGGTTTTGTTGCTTTTCTTTATTTGTGTGTGCCTTTGAGTCAGTTTTTGAATACTGGTGACTGCCTGCAGATTTTTTGGTAAGACGTTTTTGAAGTGATTTCTTCAGTTAGGTCAACTATGGCAACTTTATGACCTGTGGACTTCAACTCCCAGAATTCCTGAGCCAGCTTGGTCTATGGCAGGGATGTCAAACTCACGGCCCACAGGCTGGATGCATTATGTGCTGGCCATACCTACCCCGGGGTTAGCAAAGGGGAAAAAAGTTGCAATATGTCATGTGACAACAACTTGACACCATGAGTTTGACACTCCTGGTGTCAATCTTCTGTGGCCATTTGTGGAAGCATTGCTCACCCTCTTATTGACATATACTAAAACTGTATTATGCGTTTCAGGAAGTAGAAATCTATTATCCATCTTGCCAACATGGTGATATGTGTGTGTGTGTGTGTGTATTTACAAAAACCTATAATCTTTAAACATGTGTTGCCATAGCTGATGGGGAAACCAAAAGAATATCCTCCTATTCCAAATTACATTAAATGCTCAAATGAAGTAAGTGATTTTCTTTGTTAAAATTATAAGAGGAAAATCCGGAAAAGGAGGCTCAGAGAAGCTTCTTTTGTTGGCTATATATGTGTGACCTGCCAAGAGTCAATGTAGTGTCAGGTCCAAAGAATCAGGACCATACACTAAAGTTCAATACTAAATTGGCACCAGATAAGGATCAATAGAATTCAAGAGGGTTGTACTTAGACCATTTGTGAGAACATAAGGATTTCAGGCTGATGGCTAGTTTAATTCCACCACCCCCAGCTCTGCCTGCTCTTCTACGTCTAGGCCAAGGGTCTTCAAACTTGGCAAATTTAAGACTTGTGGACTTCAACTCCCAGAATTCCTGAGCTAACATAACAGGAGGAGGAATTCTGGGAATTGAAGTCCACAAGTCAAGCTGTCAAGTTTGCAGACCCCTGGTCTAGGCATTTTCTGATTTTTTTGGCACCCTGAGCCCAAAAGATCTGCCATCATTGATGTGGGGCACGTTTTTCTTGGAAAAGCCTTATCTTCATTCTCTCCTTCCAATCTTTTGTCTCACCTGCGTGGAAGAGCCAAATGCTATCCAGCTAGTTGGCATTCCAGTTGCTGTACTTAACTTCAGAGCATTTTCATGTTGTAACTGTTTATGAGACTGTGTTTGCTTTCTACAGGCTACGGGGGACTTGTAATTGGGCCCCAAAAGATGTGCCCAAATGGATAATGGATATAAATGGATAAACAAGCCATTTCTAAGTTATATGAACAAATCAGCTGTTTTCATCTGATGCCTTTTCTGCAGGGGGTTTTGTGTAAAGGAGATAATTTAGAGTGTTGTACTATAGTGGTGTGTTAGAGCAGGACTTCCCCAACTGGGCAACTTTTAGAAATGAGGACATTAATTCCCAGCATTCACAACAATTCTATTTTAGCTGAGGAATTCTGGAGCTTGAAGTCTACACATTTGGAACTTATCCAGGCAATAAATATTAATTAGAGACTTCTGTTCTCTAATCAACCTACTATAATAGTTTTTTTCAGTACCTAAACCAAGATAATGAAGTGAAATGCCATTAAATATTTTCTTGGCCTGCTCTTTGCTCATGTGTGAAGGATTTACATGGAGTCGGCCCATCTGCTGGACTAAATAGAGATTGGTATATTTGACAGCATGCCAGTCTCTATTTGGGAGCAATGTTCCGCCTGAAATAAAAGCTTGAGCTTTTATTGCAGTTGTTGCAATGTTCAAGTCTTTGCCTTGCTTTTACTAGAGCTCCATTAATAACTTTACTCACGTGGACAAAGCCCCTTGATTGTAACATATAATCCCATGCAAATAATGATCCCAGCCACATGATTTGGTATGTCACACTATTTGAGTTAGTCTTAATGGATGAATAATGGCTATCCTTTGATAGTGTTTTTGAAAGAAATATAGACATCAGCTGCATCAGGGTATTGAATACATTTAAAGACCCAACTCCATTTATTTTAAATATACTTTCTTAATAAGCATATACATTAAGAAATTCGGCTTTGTCTTAAAAGTTGCTGTTTTGCCATAAAAAACAGGGAGGTTTATGCTCCCCGTTTGTGTAGGAACCTCCAAACGCAATATAGTAATATTGCAGTTTTCTGCAGGTACATTCACATGCTCTGTATTAGCCATTGATCAAAATGTCCTGCTTCTGTGCAAAATATGCTGCAAATTGCAGCCCTAACAGACATGTAGCACCACACATAGTGTCTATGAAATCTCCCGCTGCCTGTTTGTTCTTACGGCCATTGAGCAGGTCAATCCATATTGGTCTG